CCACCAGAAGCTTTGCTGGAAAAGGAGAAACAATCTCCTCCTATACCAGTCAAATCTGATTTGACGGTGTACACACACACACACACACACACACACACACTAAAAAAAATAAAATTAAAAAAAAAAAGCCGAAGTGTATGGACACAGGGCGATATGAATGGTCTACAGTGCACCCCAATCTCAGAGCTCCATTCCTCTTTCCTCAGAAAAAGTCGAAGGAAGTGACGCATAGCTGACCCTGCACCGGGTTTCCTAGGCTATAAGCCGCTCCGAAGCAGAGGCCCCATCTTGCTTCCAAGGACCTGTGTGCTGGTGGATCCAAACTGTGGGAGACATACAGCCTCTGTGTCAGCAGTGCAACTCCCTCTGGACGATGCCACCAGCTCCCTGTCAGAATACCTGCAACCTCAAATTCTAAGCCTCAAGTGCTTTTCCAATGACACTTCTACTGAAAAGTCAACTTCCCAGGTTCTGTCAGCACAGGTAATAATAACAGTAAAAAAGAGTTCAGATGGTCACCTTTGAAATTACTATTGAGGATCAATAACGGTGGCAAGTTCAAATTCGGAGAAAGCTTTTAACCAACTCAGACTTGAGTGATACAGAAAGTCATAGAGAGGGGAGCTCTGGTGGCCCAGTGGCAAGAAGCTGCACTGTAATCCCAGAGATATGCGGTTCGAATCCACCAGATGCTCTGCCGGAGAAGGAGGGGCCATCTCCTCCTGTACCAGTCAGATCCAATATGACGGTACACACACAAAATAATAAAAAAAAAGAAAGTCATAGAGATAACGACAAATACTGCGTAAGACCATGATTGTAGAACATGCATACAGATCCAAGCGGGAGGGGAGCAGAGGGGTAAGGATGGTCAGGGGGTAGGTGGGGTGTAGTGGTTAATCATAAGGTCACACAATTGGATGGGGGGGGGGATGAAGGAAATGGAAAAGATCTGGTGTGAAAAACCATGTGTACATACTTGTTAAGTAAACCAGTATATAATAAAAATTTTACTTAAAAAAATGGAAAGAAGGATTTCACAGAAAATAAAAACAACAAAAAAAGAAATTATATGTAGCTTTTGTCCAACTTTTTGGAAGGATATTTCAAAAGCATTGTCACATCAACTAAAGGAAGACATGGAAGGCTGTGGAACTCAGAAGGCCAGCAGGCCTTTGTTTCAACCCCTATCTGGCAACCCCACTGACAGCAACATGTCTGCACACCCTCTACTAAAATATCGGAAAAGGAATTCAAGAGAAAAATCTGAGCAGGATGAAGGGAAGTGAGAGGCAATGAAATGTGCCAACAAGCTCCAAGCCCTTGTTTCAGTTAGGGTTTCAGAGGCGCTGGAGGACAGGAGGGAGCACCAGGCCCTCCCTCCGGACAGTGGGGCAGGTTAGGCTCCAGCTAGGTGCAGCTGCCTGAGGTGGGAGCCTCCCTCAACAGATAAGAGCTTGTGGGAAGATGTCGAGAAAGTGAAACAGAGACTCTCGAATTAAGAGCAGAAGTCCAGCTGAGAACAGGGCTAAGATGCACTATTGAAGCTACAAGGGCCAGGGAACAATCTGCTGAGGGACTGGAGACAGGCCAGCATCTCCCATTCAGCTCCTAGACTGCCTAACACCAGGCAGGGGAAGCTACTGGAGAAGTACTGAGTTTCCCATCCAAAACCAGGTGCCTTGGAGTCCACCCTGACTTCCACGGACTCCATGTGTATCAGAGCAAAACTAGGCTTCACGGGGTTCTCAATAGTTGATTTCTCAGAAAGAGATCTCCAGGCTTTTCTTCTTAGGTACCTCTGGGAAGACTTGAACTCCACCTTTCTGTTAGCAGCTCCTTATTTCGCCACTTGCACCACTCAGGGACTTCCTAGTCCAAAAAGCCTGTCCATAATGTGTCGCTGCCAAACACCATTTCTGCATGTCACTTTTGAATAGGAAAGGACAGGTGAAGACAACCCACAAGATGAAAGACAGCGTTCTAACCAAATATAAAAATCCAGAGAAAATCATAAAAGAAAAGGCCCATGAAGAACCGCATTTTGCGCCCTCTGACACTGCTGTACCCCCACAACAGTGCAAGTGCTGCAGCTAGTTGTTGCCGAGTCAATTTGGACTCATGACCTCCCCAAGGGTGCAGGCAGAATAGCCTCATGGGACTTTCCAGACCTCCTTCCAAGGTGCCTCTGCCCACCTATTGGTTAACAGTTGAGTGTTGGAACGCTGTGCCACGCAGGGACTCTATATGACAAGAATGAAGAGCTACAAAAAGGGAGTATTTGCAGAGTGAGAAAGAAATGCAGAAACATGGTAAAGTTGACATGAAGGTTTGGACTGTTGTTGTTGCTGATTGCTGTCAAGTCAAGCATGACTCACAGCGACTAGGAACAAAAGACCTAATAATGCCTTTCCATAATTATCGTTGTTTCTCCAAGTTCATAGAGTTTCCATAATCATGTCGTTTAGGAAGTGGATGCCACTCCTGCTTCCAAACCTGGTTTACAACTAGGAGCTCCACCAAACACTGTCCACATTGGGAAACCATTGTGGTATTTGATACCCCAACGGCACAAGGTTCAGCATCACAGGTTACTTCACATAGCACCCTGACAAAAGAGTGATGTACAAAGTGGAAGAATGTCCCTCCAGATATAACAGCCTACTCTCATTTAGCAGTGGGTAAGTGTCATCAAGTCAAATGACCTGGACTCTGTTTTATAACTAACATCATTCCTGTACATTTATAGAGTTTATAGAGCTCCAGAGGCAGCTAGTTTAGGAATTGAATACCACTCGTGCTTCCCAATCTGAATCAATCTGGAAGCTCATCCAAACACTGTACATTATGGGTAACCATTTTGGTATTTGACATGACTATGGCACAGTGTTTAACACTGTAGCAATTCCAAGTTGGTCAATAGAGCAAACAGACAAACTATTGCTGTGTCACTTGAATAATATTCATTCTAAAATTAATAAATTTGGCCCAAGGGCACACATGCCTTCAGATCCGATGGGAGTGTAAAGACACACCCTATAGGGGAGCTCTGGTGGCTTAGTGGCAAGAAGCTGCACTACAATCCCAGAGATAGACGGTTCTAATCCACCAGGTGCTCTGCTGGAGAAGGCGGGGCAATCTCCTCCTGTCCCAGTCAGATCGGTTTTGATGGTACACACACACACACACACACACACACACACACACACACTAATAAAATAATTAAAAAAAAAAGAAAAACCCTGTAGCAGGCCTCCACCCTTGGTCAAAAGTTCAAGGGACACCCGCTTTTGGAGGGTAAAAGAATAGTAACACAAATCAAACACAACCTAAGAACTTCCCTTACGTGACTGCCAGCAAAACATGACGACCATCCAGATACTAGCAGCCAAGGATAGGACTACAGGTGAGAAAACAAAATCAAGTACGAAAAGCATGATGACATCCTTTGGGTATGTTACAAGGAGGGACCAGTCCTTGGAAAGGAACATGACATCATGCTTTGGAAGGTGGAGGACCCTCGATGAGATGGATAGACTCAGTGACTGGGGTAATGGGCATAGGTGTGTCAGATACAGTAAAATTGGCACAGGATAGAGCAGGGTTCTGGGCTGTTGTACATAGGGTAACTATGAGTCACAGGGCACATTAACAGCAACATGAAAAGCACTATAGTTACGGAGAAGAAGGCTGCCCTCTGCTGGACAGGCCTGGCAGGACAGCTCCACTGAAAAGATAAGGCTTGTGCTAGAGCTCCCAGGAAAGAGCTCTGGTGTTGCAGCCCACCGCAAGTTGCTAACTAACAGGTTCAGTGTCTCTAATGTGCCAGTCTTTCTGTAGCATAAAGATGGGCAGTCTCCTCCTGATAAGACAACTGAACCATAGTCATAAACTCTCATCCAGGTCAGACTGTCAAGTACTAAATGAGTGTTAAATGAAGGCATGCCAACTGATCAAAGCCCATATGAAAAAGGGCACCTAATCACTGAATTTAAGGTTAACTTTCCTGAGAATGGCTTTCTCGTTCCTGAAAAGCTCTCTCTCTGCTGGAAAAACTCTTGAGAGGACGGAGGTAGAAAAGACTGATGAAATGGATCACGCAGGACCAGGAAAGATGACGCCATTACAATGGAGAAGCATGTGAGAATGATGATGTGTAAGACTTCTTAATGGGCACTACTGAGTCCACTGCGAGCGTTTGATATGCAGTAAGTGCATAAGTGAAGGACTGCAATCATAATATGCTCATTACTTGGCTATTGTTTTTGTTTTAATATTCAACTACAGTAGTGTTTTAAAGTTAAATTAATAAACTCATATATAAAAGCTCTATTTATAAAAAAAAGATTTACAGTTTGGGAAAACCAGTGGAGATTCCGTAGGAGTCCTTGATAGCACTGAGTTGGGTCTGAGGTAAGAGCAGGGGTTTTCTGAGCAGAGAAAAGTTTCAGGCAGTTAAGCCGGGGGCAAGGCAGCAAGAGAATGCCGCAGCTGGGTCTGAGTCATGATGGGCCATGTCCGCTGGAATTAAACTCAGAACACATTAGACTGAGGCAATCCCGCTCACAGTACAGAGCTCACAGAACAGAGGAGAACGACCCCATAGTTTCCAGGCTGTAATCTTTATGGAAGCAGACTGAACACCTTTCTCCTGAGGTAGATTCAAGCAACTGACCTTTAGGTTAGCAGAAGGTCTTAACCATGCCACTATCAGAACCACTCACACCTGAATTACTTCAATGTTTTGGTGTCTTCTGTAGGATCAAGTGTTTTCTCTTCCCACTTCGGGTAAAAGAACACATCTCCCCCTTCTGAAAACATCCTGGGAAGCCAGCCCGTATTTATACTTCAGGGGGCCCTTCTGGGAGCAGAGAGTGGTACCAGGGTCCTCTGCTGTACAGTGTCCACCCAGGTCTCAGGTGGGTACTGTCAACATGCGTATCAACAGGGCCACCAGAAAGGGCCTGGGCACACTCGAGGGTGGTAGCGCGACAGCTTACAGTTTTGGAACCAGGGCGAATCTCATCTTGCTCAGCAGCTCGTCTTCTTGAAGCATGATCAGGGCGACTGGGTACATCTGATCGAAATCAAAATTGAACTGCACGCCAGCTGGAGGGTCCCGCAGGAAATTCCTCTTGTCCTTTAAGAAAAGAAAAATACTGGGGGTGAAGAGCACCGAGAACAATTACAGTGAAATGCTACATTACTGATGTGACACATTACTTCTAAGTTACGGATACTACTGAGAAGAATGGGGATTCTAGAGCATTTAATAGTGCTCATACAGAAGCCACACACAGAGCAAAAAGCAGTCATGTGAACACCAGAAAGGGATAGTGCATGGTTTACAATCAGGAAGGGTGTGTGCCAGGGTTGGAGCCTTTCTCCACACCTCTTCGACCAGTATGCTGAACAAATGAATTCGAGAAGCTGGGTTATATGAAGAGGAATGTGGCATCATTGAAAGAAGACCCATTAACAACTTGTGTGAGACATGTAGATGACACACTCTTGCTTTTGGAACATGAAGCATGTACTGAAGATAAAAGACTACAGTCTTCAATATGGATTATATCTCAACATCAAGAAAACAAATCTTCACAACTGGATCAATAGGAAACATCAGGATAGACGCAGAAGAGAATGAAGATGGCAAGGATTCTTCTTTACTTACACGCAATCCCCATGACAGGAGCAGTTGAGAAATCAAAAGATGCGTTGTACTGGGAAAATCTGCTGTCAAGGACACCTCTTTGAAGTGCCAGTTTAAATGCTAAGATGCGCCTTTCCCAAGCCATGTTATTTTCAAGTGCTTCTTATGCATGTGAAAGTTGGGTAATGAATAAGGAAGACTGAAAAGGAATTGTTGCCTTTGCATTGTGGTTTTGGTGAAGAATACAGCCAGAAGAACAAATCTGTCTTAAATGAAGCACAACCAGAGTGCTCCTCAGAGGCAAGGATGGTGAAATTTGGTCTCACATACTCTGGGCATGCTGTCAAGTGGTGCCGGTCCTTGGAAAATGACATCATACTGGCAAAGGTGAAGGGTCAGCTCAAGAAAGACCCTCCATGAGATGGACTGGTGCATTGACGGCAACAATGAACTTGAACATGGTGGAGATCATGAGGCTGGCATGAAATCGTGCAAGGTTTCAGTTGTTGTTCACAGGGTCACTAAGAGTTATTGTCAACTTGAACAATAACAAAGACTTCAGTCATAAGCCGCACTGAGCTGTCACTAGCCTGTCCATCTCAGAGACACCTGAGAAAAAGAGATCCTTCAAATATTCTCTAACACTCTCAAATGGAAAGAGCTGCTCAAGAGGCCGGGAGGTCAAATTATGGGCGATGTTACAGAATGAGTGTGAGCTCAGGATCAGCTGTAGGGAAAGATGCAGGGTGATGGGGAGCTTTCAGGAAGAGGGGAGAACAAGCAGAAAGCCCCACCTTTGTCCTAAGCATAGGACAAAGCTCCACCTGCTCATGTAACAAAAACAAATAGTGTAGTCATCAGAGGAGTGGTGCCCGCGAGGGGAGATGGTAGGGCAGTCAGGGCTTAGAAGCCAGGGGCGGGTGCTCCCCTTTGGTCTTGTTTGGAGGAGTATGCTGCTTCAGGGTGGTACTGTACACCGGAGACCCAACCATGACAGAAGGGCCCTAGGGAGTCGGTTCAACCAGTCTCTAGCAGACCAGGAAGCCAAGTTTGTTTTTAGGACTTTCAGCTATGTTCCACTTTTTTCTCCTACTCTGTCCAGGACCTTCTGGTGTGATCCCATTCAGAGAAGCTGATAGTGGCAGCCAGAACCATCTGGTTCTTTTATGTAGGCTGTGGCTTATGTGGGCAGGATATGGGATCTTATTTGAGGCAAACCCAGTTTCAAACAATCACAGAACAATTAAAGCGAAAAACGGAAGTATTATCATGTCATACAGAAGTGGAATGCTGCTGTGAGGATAAAGACTAATGAAATAACATGAAAGAATTCTTTCATGTGGCAGGCTAACCTTCACACTGACATAGAAGAACACAGGATAAGGAAACGAGAAGTTAGTCAAGAGGAAAGTCATGTGTGCATTCCGAACATCTCAAAATATCAAGGAAAAAACTTGTGTTAAGGACCAGGTTGTGCCCACACGGATGCAGCATGATAGGAAGAATGAACATGCTACACATCGTATCACAAAACACTCACAGCTGATAAGGCCAAGATTTGTTGTTGGATGGTTTCTTCGTCATTACTGTCAACCCATGGAGGCACTGCTGCTTCTGTCAGGTATTCAATGGCAAGTAGAAAAAGAGAAAAACAGGTTACAACAGTTACACTACAGCCTGTGGAGAGAAAGGATGAGGAAAATGCTCAGCTAGCCATTTAAAATGGAATTCAACTGGATTCCATATATGCTCATTTATCATCACACCCGAACTGAAGAGTCTTGTACATGTAGGCATTTGATAAAAAATGACTCTGCTTGAATTAGACAGTCACCAGTGAGGGGCAGACAGACATCGTGGAGCTCTGCTGTGATACTCTGCCAAGGAAACAGCATTGTAGTCTTCTGACTAGGAATGGATAGATTGATCTAGTCATAAGGAAACATTAGACACAAAACAACTATGAGATATCATCTCACCCCAGTAAGAATAGCAAAATTTAACAGAACAGCAAACATCAAATGCTGGCAAGGTTGTGGAGAAACTGGAACCCTTATTCACTGTTGGTGGGAGTATAAAATGGTGCAACCACTCTGGAAGGCTGTATGGCACTTTCTCTAAAAGTTGCAAATAAAAATACCATTTGAGTCCCTGGTTCGTTCCCGGGTTTCGGCACAAAAAAAAAGAAATGTCATTTGACCAAATTCCACTACTGGGAATTTACCCTAAAGAAACCATAACTGCCACCCAAGCAGATATATGCACACCCATGTTTCTTGAGGCTTTGTTCGCAATAGCAAAGAACTAGAAACAACCCTAGTGCCCATCAACAAATGAATGGACAGAGAAGCTCTGGTATACAATGAAATACAATGCAGCATTGAAAAACAAGAAACTAATGAAATATTATGCAAAATGGATGACCTGGAGGACATTACGCTTAATGAAATATCTCAGTCACAAAAGGACAAATATTGCATAGGGCCACTGTTGTAAAATGGGACTGACATCAGGGTTGAGGGAAGAGAGAAAAGAAGGGGAGGAATGATGTATATTGCATTGAAACAGTTGAGGGAGAGAACTGTTTCAAAGGGATATATGAATGGGTAGTCTTGTCATTACAGAAGTCCAGAGTGAGGGCTGCATGGTGGAGTGGACTTGGGGGGAGGGACTGCATAACAATTAAAGAGTTTTTCTTTCTCTTTTCAAGGAGAAGAGTGAATTGGGGGAAAGGGGTGGGCAGGGAGAAAAGTGCAACAATGAATCAATGGAAACCCTAAGTCTCTGTAAACTTT